CTGGTCACTCTAACACAGGTGCTCCTTTGAAACTGTTTACAGTGGAGAGAGCTGAGGTGGAGGAGAAGCTAAAAGTCACAGGGAATGGTGCACAGCTACGGGCTGCTTAAGGACTGGGGACACGCTCTGTGACATGCATCGTTAGGCAATTACGTCGACCATCATAGAGCGCACTTACACAAACATAGGTGATAGAACCTACTATACACCTGGGCTATAGGGTAGATAGAGCCTATTGTTCTGTAGGGGAAGAAAAATAATTTTCCCTTGACCCTTCTGGGTTCTTGGCTGAGACATTCCAAAAACCAAAGACAGATTAACAGGGGGAAAACAAAAGTTTAGTAACATGTATACCTTTTGTATGGATGGGAGAGACCCAGGAAAACCGAGTAATTCACCAAAATGGCTGAAGCCACACCTGAAATACCATCTTCAGCTGAAGACAAAAGATGTTGGTGCTGGGGGGAGTCAGCTATGGGAGGTGACCAGGAAAAGCACAGTAAACAAGGGTAAGGTTGTTATGCAGATTTAAGTCAGTGCCTTCTCTGATAAGAGTTTAGAGATTTAGGGTCATTCTTTTAGCACAAAGAGGGAGACACCCTTCTACAAGGAGAGTTCCCTTACAAATGTAAATGTCTTTTACAAAGGGCAGCTTCTGCTTGGCTTTCAGAGCTTCTCCCATGTTTTCTGCTGCTGCTTAAAATTAACCAGCCTAAACTAATCCTATGCCAAATAGACACATTCTGTTCCTCTACAGCTCCTAGAGCATGTTATGGTACTGATTACTGTAGGCAATTGTAACACAGTGGTAAGTATTTGTGTAATATGTTGTGTTAGGATCTTATGATGGCTATGACGTCACTAGGCTATGGGAACTTTTCAGCTCCATTATAATCTTATGGGACCCCCATTTTATATGTGGCCTGTCATTGACTGAAACTGGTTATGTGGCACATGACTATTCATACAATAGAGCTGTGTAGCAGTTGAAAAGAATCATCATGGGGACGTTTTAAATGTAATACTAAAGAACAAAATTCAACTGAGTAAATTCAAAGATCTAATTGGCTTTTATTATATGAGTCACGAATTGGGCAGCATCCCATTTATTAGTAACTAGAAGGGCAATTCGAGTGGTTGTACAAAATGGGAGGTTTTCATAGGAAGAAGGGTGGGGCAAGGGAGCTATTAACAAGAGAAGAAAGCATTATTTTGGGGCTGGGATATCTTTGGGGGGGAGGGGGAGAGATTGGGAAGGGTTTTTATCATGCAGATTGCATCTTTCTAAGGGAGATAAAGAGGGCCCATGTAACAAGTTACCTTACTGGTGCTTGACCAGAAAATTCCAGACTGGTTGATTAAGATTACATTTCTAGGAGAGGCTGAAACTGCACTTCTATGCCTAGATGGAGGGTCAAACTTTGTGATATCGTGTTTCTAACTTAGATTTACTCTAAGAGGCAATACTGAAATTTCCACAGAGTTCCCACACTACACAGATATATTCTGTGGATTCTTTTACAGCACTACAGAGGTATAATTAAAACATAAGTTGTATATATTTCAGGTAAACAATTTGAACAGATATAAATATACACGCATGACGCCATCATCATGATCAAAATAAGCAAATATTTCTATCATCCCCAAGATAAGCAAATATTTCCTCATGTTCTAATCCATCCCCATCCTTAGGCCACCACAGATTTGCTCTCTGTTACCACAAATCAGATTACATTTTTCTGGGAATTTTATAGAGCTAGAATGACACAGTATGTATAGGTTGGTTGGTTGGTTTTTGGCCTGTCTTCTTCCACACAGCGTAGTGGTTTTGTGATTCACCCATGTTGCCAGTAGTTCATTCCTTTTTATTCTTGAGTAATATTCAGTTGTATGGATATAATAATGTGTTTATCCTTTTACTTGTAGAACATTTGAGCTTCTAGTTTTTGGTTATTACAAATAAAGCCGCTATGAACAAATGTGTGCAAATCTTGGGGATATATGTTTTTATTTTCCTTGGGTAAATACCTAGAAGTAGAATGGCTGCTTCACACAGTAAGTATAGGTTTAACTTTTAAAGAAACTGCCAAATTATTTTCCAAAGTGGTTGCACCATTTTGTATTCCCACCAGCAGTGTGCGAGAGTTTCAGTTGCTCCACATCCTCATTAGCACTTGGTATGATCTGTTTTTTAAATTTTTAGACAATCTAATGAGTGTATAATAGTCTCACCTTGTGGTTTTAATTTGCACTTCCTGGAAGACTAATAATGATGATTATTCATATGTCTATTGGCCATTTTTTTCCTCAATGATATATTTTTTGTTTGTGTTCTTAAGTTGTAAGAGTTCTTGACATGTTCTGGATACAAGTCATTTGTCTGGTATGTGTTACAAATATTTTCTCCCAATCTGTGTCTTGTTTTCCATTTTTTTCGTAAAGTCTTTTATAAATCAAAAGTTCTAAATTTTGATTAAGCCCAACTTATCAATTTTTTTTCTTTTATGGTTTATGCTTTTTGTGCTCTAAGAAACCTTTGCCTACACTGAAGTTGCAAAGCTGTCCTGTTTTTTCATTTCCAACCCAGATTTATATTGAGGGGTACAAGTTTGATATTCCCATTGAATTTCCACATTAAACAGACATGTTTTAATTTCAGTAATTCAACTTTTGAGGACCCTAAAATAAATTCCATATGGGTAGGGGTATTTAGCTTAAAATGCTATAGTAAAAGCAATAAAAATATAAAAGGATAAAATGAAGCAAATGGCAAAATGATGATAACTGTTGAATCTGAGGGATGACTGAGGTATGGGGGTTTGTTAAACTTTACTTTCTACTTTTGTGTATATTTGAAAACTTTTATTTCAAAATGCATATTACAAAGAATGCCCTACTGAGAGGTTTGTTTCACACAAGTCCTTTGGGAGGCACAGGTGCTTCCTCTTTTTGTGCCCACGTCTGTTATGGCCCCAGACACATTCCTGCTAATGCAAGAGTGTTTCTGTACTCTCAGTTCAAAGCCATTTTCTAGATTGTTTCTGTACTCAGTTCAAAGCCATTTTCTAGATTTTAACTGTGGGTAAAAGAACAATTTAGTTGCAAGTCGAGGAGGGAAGTGGACGAAATGCTTTTGTTGTTCTTTGTAGACCATGTTGCTTTACGGCACTCCCGCACTGGCTCTGTGATGATCGAAAAAATGATTGACGTCTATAAACAGTATGGAAATAAGTGGCACATCGTTGACTTTTTCACCAAAGTAAGTAAATTCCAAGTGACCGCGTGCCCCATTCACCCTGAAGCTAGTGCACTTGATGACAACATTTTCATGAGACGACCAACTTTAGCCATGAAAACATGACAGATACTGAAAAGTTGCTTGAAAACTGTGGGCGGACTGTGAGTTTAGAGGACTGTGGCTGCATTGTTCAGAAGACACAGTTGAACCAGATACCGAGGAAAACTGATAGTGATGCTGTCTATTCATTGGTAATGAGTGTGTGGCTATTTGGTGAGCTTTATAGTTCTACCTATGCTGTAGTTCTGCCATTGCAGTTGGCTTTGGCCTGACTCAGCTGGGAGAGGGGAGGACCTGAGTGCTTCTTTAAGGACCGACGCTGGCTCTCATGTGTCTCCCCATTTTGTAGCCCATGATCAATGTTCACTGGGTGAATGAGTGGCCAAGAATTGTAGCAGATTTATACACAAACTGTAGTTTAGAGAATGACCCGATTATAATGGTTTATTATATCAGGATTGAAGAGTAATTTTCTTCTTAATCTGGAGTTTTTACATCCAAAGACAGCTAATTAGAAAAGGTTATAGGGCCGGCCGAGTGGCGCGTTGGTTAAGAGCTGGCTTGGGACGCCAGAGGGCCCCGGTTCAGATCCCACATATGAGGGCCAGTGACACTAGACTGNCCACTGAGTTTATGTTCTAGGTGGGGAAGACAAACAATAAACACATAGAGAAAATAAATATTGCGTTCTTTTATGATCCCATTTATACAAAGTTCAAAAATAGGCAAAACTAATCTGTGGTGTTAGAAGTCAGCACACTGCCGTGTTTGGAGTGGTAATGATTACAGTGGGCAAGTGGGGATTTCTGGCGTGCTGCTACCATCTTGTTTACTGATGAGAGTGCCAAGTGTGTGGGTGTGTCTGCTTTATGAAAATGTATTGAGCTATTATATTCTCTTGTGCTTTGCCTACTTTTCCGTATGATGGTTACCCTTCAGCGAAAAGTTTACCAAAAATAAAATAAAATATGTTAGATGGTGGTAAGAGCTACAGAGAAAAATGCAGGAATGGGATAGAGAGTTTTGAGGGGTAGGAGTGGAGATTGCAGTTTTAGAGTGAGATGTATACAGATGTTACTGAGAAGATTCTTGCATAGAAACTTGAAGGACATGAGAGTGAGCTGTGTAGATATTTGAGAGAAGGTGTTTTGTAAAATATGAATACTAGGTATAAAGGAATAACAAAAACTCTATCAGCCTATGTACAGACAAATAGACCATTGGGATGGAATAGAGAATTGAGAGGCAGAACCAAATGTATAGGGAAGGTAGATACATGACACGGAAGCCATTACTAATCAACGGTGAAAGAATGGACCATTCAATAAATTGTGTGAGGGAGAAAACTTGCTTCTCAATGGGGGCAAAAAGTTTATTTTCAATTTTTTTTTGGCACACAGTTCATTGTATCTTTAATCATGTGAAATCTCTAATCTTCTTTATCTCTAATATTTGTGTCTTCTTTTAATTTTTGATCAGTTTTATCAGTGGTTTATTTATTTACTTAAGACCCCATTTTTAGTTTTGTTAATCCTCTCTAGTATTATGTTTGTTTTTTATTTCATTAATTTTTGGCTCATATTTCCATTTTTTCTTTGTTTTTGGGGGGTTTATTCTCTTTCCAACTATTTCACTTAGGTACTTGAATTGGCTTGTTGTTTCTTTGTGTGTTTGAACTCTTAACTTAGCTCATTGTTGAATCTTAGTCTGTGGTACTCATAAGAGTATAGGGAATACTTCCCTTTAGAGAGGGTTATCACCTGTCTGGCCCACTGTAGCTCTCTTCAGGGTTACAGGGTTAATGCGGAATCTTAGGTTCAGCTCTCTACCTCCCAGGCACACATTCCAAGCTTTACTTTCCAGAGGTGCTGGTACAGACATTTTCCCTTAGACACTGTGCAACTCTGCTTTTCATGTTTACTTTCTGCTCCTAGCTCAGATTTTAACTTCCTCATTTGGAGGAATGGGGTACCTTCGAGATTTCCGTTAATTCCTATCAGCCCAGAATAGCACTAGAATTTTATTTTAATCAAGAATCAAATTTTATAGATTCATAGATATAGACAACAGAATGATGGTTACCAGAGGGGAAGGGATTGTGCGGGGAGGACAAAGAGGGTAAATGGGGTCTGGTGATGGAAGACTAGACTTTGGTAGTGAGCATACAGTGGAGTATACAGATGTATTATGAAGTTGTACACCTGAAACTTAGATAAGGTTGTTAACCAGTGTTACCCCAATAAATTTAATTTTAAAAAAGAACCAAGTTTTATAGCCGTAGGGGTATTTAAATTATCTAGAGTCCAAAGTCGAAAACCTGGACAATGTGTTAAAATGAATCTTCTAGGGATCCCCATTTTTACTTCATCAGATGACTCATAAGTAGTCTGGCAGTGCCAAGTATATGGGGCTATG